TGATAGAGGAGACTCGTCGATCAGTCGGACCGCCCTCCTCTAGACAGCATCGATCATGGATAATGTAGTAGGGGCGGCAGGACCCCAAACGTGTGAGCAATACTCGAGGCTAGGCCTTATCTGGGCCTTGTATAGAGTAAGAAGGTCATGTGGAGAAAAGTACCTCTTAGCCCTAGCTTTTTCCTAGCAGCTGCAGCTATTGACGAGATGTTTTTGTGCCAGCTCAGGTCCTCGGTGATCTGGACTCCGACCAGCCGAAATGAATAGCTTTTTGTCAGAGCTCGGCCATCCATCGAAACCGGGTGACCGCTAGGACACTTTTTGTACGTCAAAGTACAATACTGTGTTTTGGAAGCATTGAACTGTACAAGATTGTTGCGTCTCCAAGCAGTGATAGCCTCCAGGGCTCTTGTCAGAGAGGAAGTCGTCGCTAGTCTTATTTTTTCCAACTCAGCGGCAGAGATCGGCTTGTCACTCTGAATTCCTTCATGTAGAGTGCTGCCATTGAGTTGATCGTGCAGGAAAGGAAGTCGTTGATATGTAAGAGAAACAGTGTTGGAGCCAAGACCGATCCTGGGGAACACGACGGATATCTTGCGGCCAGAGATAAAGTCAGCCACCCATCTGCAAAGCTTTTCTGGGAGGCCATAGGATGGCAGTTTGCTTAAGAGGGCACCGTGCCACAGCTTATCGAACGCTTTCGTGATGTCAAGAGCAACGACATAAGCCTCACCTTAAGACTGGATGAGTTTACTCCACAAATGCGTGACGTAAGCTAGGCGTTCCCCTCTGAATCGTTGGTGTCGGAAACCATACTGCCTGTCGCTAATCAGGCTGTGACGTTCGAGTTAGTCCAGAAGATCGCGATTTATGTACCTCTCCATCACCTTACTTATAACAGAAAGCAGAGATATAGGCCTGTAGTTGTGAGGGTCGGCCTTAGATCCCTTTTTTGGGATGGGTTGGACATGAGCAAATTTCCAGTTCTCTGAGAAGGTGCCGGGTTCATAAGATATCTGGAAGTGACGGGAAAGAACTAGGGCAAGCTCGGCTGCACACCTTTTCAGTACAATGGCAGGAATCAAGTCCGGACCAGAAGCTTCTTCGTCTTATGCCTGAATTTTACCTCCCGCGTAGTGTAGGGAACTCTTTGAATTGACGGCACTTGGGCATTTGGTGGAGTTGGCAGCAAAGATCTTGCCTTGGCCTTTGAGTCGAATACAATAGTTCCATCCTGACACGTAAGTGGTGGAAGGCTGCTGTGTGAGAAGTTCTTTTCAATCTGCTTGGCCAGCGTCCAGAAAGACCGACTGCCATTACGCTGCGCTGCTGACGCAAAAGTTCAAGATCCTTTAGCCAAAGATAGACAGATAGATTCTTCAGCTAATGATAAACGAGATTCTTCAGACAAATCGTCAAGGTGTAGCTCTGAAGGTCAACCAGAAGGTTCAATAGGTGAAGCAAAAATTGAAGATTTTTCAGCCAAAGATAGACAGATCGATTCTTTAGCTAATGATAGACCGAATTCTTCAGAAGAATCTTCAAAGTGTAGCTCTGAAAGTAAACAAGAAACTTCAGAAACTGAAGCAAACATTCAAGATTCTTTAGCCAAAGACAACCAGGTAGATTCTAAAGTTGTTTATGGGACAAATTCTTCAGAAGAATGTTCAAAGTCTAGCCTAGAATCTCAAGCAGAAACGACGGTAGACAAAGTAAAAGACAGATTCTTTAGTTGAAAATAGACAAGTAGATTCTAGAGCTGTAGCTACGTCAAATTCTTCTCCAAGATGTAGCTGCGAAAATCGACCAAAAAGCTCAAAATTTTAGGGATTAAAGTCGAATTCAAAACTCAATCGAAAACTTGGCAACGACTCTAAAGAATCCCATGAAGCAAAGAAAATAACGACTGACATAGAAGAAAAAAAAATTATCTAACAGTGCTGACTTGAGGAACACAGATTTTCACATTGTAATTAAGTAAACTGAATACTTACTTGATGTTGGTTGAAGAATTGGCGTTCTGCAATTTTAAAGTCTTCAATTTTCAATAAAATGCTCAGTAATGGCGCCATGTCAATCTGACGTATAGTTTGAACTGATAGTCCACAGATCTAGGTACCTTTTTGATTCTTCAAAATTGCGTTTATATGAAAACCTTCTTTTTGACTGATGCGTCGTCAACTTTTTTGTCCAGGCACAAATCAAAAATAGGTTTTGTAGCTATATCTTGTGATTATATACTGAGTCACAAAAAAAACTTTTTTGTTTAGCCACTGCTATTTCTCGACAGTAGTCTCGGTGCGAATCTGATCATTCTTCATTGCTCATCTGTTCTCAGCGTCAGTGGCGGCTCGTGCCAATTCAGTGAGGTAGTGCCAGAATGGAAGCCATAATTTTGAATCGATTCAAAATTGTAAAGAATAACTTATAACTTACCCCTGATAGTTAGTGGTCAAAGTTCTTGAGGTTCAATAAATCTATATGTCCAAAAAAAAAATCAAAAATAAAACTATTTACACACGCGCACCAAATTATAAAACAAGTGTGGAGAAGTACCTATAACTTCAAAGTTTTCTATACATGAAGTCCATTCTTCTTTCTTTTTTGGTAGCAAAGTTTTCGATTACCTTATTATTAAAATTTTCAATGCCACTAACAAAATGTTTTTCTGCAGACAGCATTCCTAAAGCACTAAGCCTTTCTTCCTGCATTGTGTTTCTGAGCAAAGTTTTAATCCGTTTCAGCATTGAAAAAGAGCGTTCTGCTTCAGATGTTGACATCGGTATAGTGATTAAAATACTTAAGAGCTTAAGAGTTTCTTGAAACGTACAATTTAATCCTTCCTCGTTCAATAAAATGGATAGTGGAACAGCTCCAGAAGTAGTTCTCAATTCTTCTCTCTGATATAATACTTGTAACTCAGTTTTAAGCCTGTTTTTGTCTAAAAATGAAAATTGTGTGCATGTGTCATTTAAATGTGCTTCAGGAAACTGATGTTTATAAACAGAAAACTTTTCAGACACAAATAAATTAGAAGCAACTAAATGTCCAGAAAAGTTAAATCTTGTTCTTATTTGCGATAATACTGCATCGCATATTTCTAACGCTTCCCGTTTTTTGCTGCCTTCTTCAACTTGCCTTTTTTTTCTTGCCGGTTCATCAGTTTCTCTCTGCACTCGTTCAATCTCGTCAATAATGCTATCCATTTGTTCTCGTATAGTTTGAATTGCTGCTTCAAAATTCTCTAAATCATTTTTGACCTTAACAGAATCGGTGCATACTTTTTGTAATTGGTTAAAGACAATTTCAACATGTGGCATTATTTTATGGAATATACTTAGCCAAAATACAAAATTTGTATCTTGCAGCTTTAATTTGTACCCACTGGCTTGATTAATCGACGAAGAATCGCGTGAAGTACTTTCTATATTGTCCATAACTTCAATCAGGTCTTTCCTATTTTCATAAACTGTATGAACACCTCATGACTGAAAATTCCAACGTGTTTGGGAAGATCTTGGCAATCTGCAATTAACTATTTCATCCAAAATTTTTGTTCTTTGAGGAGACGTCGAAAAAAAGAGCACAATCCAGATAAATTATGGAAAAATATTCTAGCCTGCTTATTGACAGAGCATGCGCTTGTCATAATTAGATTTAACTGGTGTGCATAGCAAGTTTCCTTTATAATTTTTTGAACGCCATTCAATTCACCACTCATAACAGACGCACCATCATAGCTTTGAGCTATTAATTTGTTTGGATTTTGATCTAGTAATGGATTTACAACATTTAAAACGCATGCAGCGATTGATTTGGCATCGTGTCCGTCGGGGACGTAAAATCTCCAAAATCTCTCAACTGGTTGTCCTTTACACAAATATCTGAAAATAATAACTAACTGAAATTCACAGGCTACGTCAGTCGTTTCATCGGCAATTACTGCAACAAAAGGAGAATTTGCAATCTCCTTCTTAACTTCTTCATGATAAACATCTAGCATGCACTCAAGAAGCTCGTTTTGAGTTGTTTTTGAGGTACCCTTGAAAAGTTTGGCACTTTGAATATGGACTTTCAATTCGTTGTCTAATTCGGCGCTAAAATTCACCAGCTCCATAAATATGCCTCTGTTTTCCGAATTTTCCTTTTCATCGTGACCCCTTAAGGCTAACTCAAATGCTCCACAAAACCTTATACAATTAATAATTTTATTCAATACATATCGATTCTTATCCACTTGATTATTATGTTTAATTAGATCATTGCGATAAGCCGAGTTGAGTCCTTATATTTAATTTACCAAGAATAGAAAAGCTAAAAACATTATTCATATGGACTTTAGATTTTTCGTGGGTCTTCATTTTATCCCATATATGTATAAGATCGTCTGTACCTTTTTTTGACCAAGTCTCGTCACCTCCAAATAGAACACATACAAAACAAAATAGTTTATTCGTTTCTTCACAACCACATATCCAGCTGTTTTTATCGTACACATTTTTATTAAATTTGCGACAGCGCGATTTTTGTCCGCTACCACTTTGTTTCTCAATTTTTAAATCGGGTATTGGCGGTCCTAATTCTTTAATTTGCAGTTTTTGATCCAGCGAAAAACCACTAAATGAGTTTTTTAATATCCCGATTTTATTCATTTTCACTAGTTTTAATAAAACAGTAAAAAATATGATCACAAAACAGAGCAGTTCATTAACACTAGACGTACTAAAACAAAAAAGGTATTTTTCACTTTTCAGGTAAAAAAAGACCGAAATCAGCACTAGACGTAATCATAACGAAACGACCGACCGAACAAAAACACCGCCGATATCACTTGATAACGAATTACGACTGATGATGTGCCTGGCACAAATTATACTTGTCTTTCGCTATTCACCTCATATAAAAATGTGTAGGGTAGCGTTATCTCTGTCGCTCGTATGCGATGCTAGTAAAATTTCTCTCTTTTTATTTGGGCCGGCCCAAAATTGGCACAAGTTGATGACGTCAAGGTCAAGGCGTGGTTTCCGTCTCGCGTGGTTCGGGTGCTTGCGGTGTTGTCACGTTGTCAGTGTTGTCACTTCATATAATTTATACCAAAAAAAAAAAAATGAAAAAGCAGAAAATAAAGTAAAACATTGAAGATTGAAAAAAATATTCTTTTTGAAGAAGACAAGGTAGTGCCATGGCACCGTGGCACTACCTCACGAGCCGCCACTGCTCAGCGTATTTATTGTGAGAATCAAAGTTACAAATTATTACAAGTCGTGTATCAGTTTTTCAACATAAGCGTTTCTGAGGCTGGTGTGTACAACCCATTTTGGCAATTTTAATTGTAATATTAGCTGATTCATTCATTTTTACCTTTGATACTAATTAAACTCGAATGGTTTTGATGAATTTCAGGATGTATCCCGGTTATGATTTTGGTCTCATATTACATAATCAGATCTTGGCTAATCATATCGACAGAAAGTGTCTCCAACCTCATCCAAATTTCAATATAATCTCGAAATAAATGATAAACGCTCGTTTAAGCCATTTCTTTTCTTTCTTTACAGGGACCTCTGGAATCAAGATCATTACGCGCAAAAAAAATTACGACATTATGCAAGGGTATCCCAGTAACGAAATTTACAAAAAATTGGACGATGCTGAATCTTTTTTGTTCAATTCCCAAAATTATTCAGAAGAACAACGAAAAGAAGTTAAACACAAATTGCCAAATCAAAAATCAGAAATAAAACGTAGATGGATTGCCGCATATTACATAGAAGATCTTTTCCTTAAAAGACATAATCGTTGGCTCCAAATGAAATTGAAATACCACAAACAAAATCACGACCAGGGCGGTCACATAAATCTGTTAGTAATACTAGCGAGCGAAGTAAAAGACGAAAAACCGAAGCATTCCGTGGTGAAATAAGCTCTGAAGAGTTGACTTTTGCAACTCATACGAAGTTACGTTCTGAGGGCAAGACTGATGCATCAAAGGTGACAAAAGACCTAATGCTATCGCCAATGCGAGCAAAACAAATATCGAAAAGCGTTCATTCAATCCCAAAATGACGAAAAGCAGCTATCAACCGTATTAACCCCAATGAAAGCATTGTCTATGTTTGCCGAAGCTGGTCTGACAAGAAGACGGTATGATACAATCAGAAGTTTTAACAAGAAACTATACCCATGCTATACGATCTTACAAAAGAATAAAAAAGACTGTTATCCTGTACAAGAATCTCATAAAATCATTGCTACTTGCGCTGAAAGTAATCTTCAAGATTTATTAAATCATACTGCTTCGCGGCTTTTGTTGCATTTGACAGATGTTCTCCAGAATTTAAATAGTGAAGGAAGAAACACGCTAATTTTGACATATAAATGGGGATGGGATGGGTCACAGCAGACAACATTTAATCAAAAATTTTAAAATCACCTTGATTCTGATGCAAATATATTCCAAAGTTTATTTCTCTCTCTCTCTCTCTCTCTAATGTGTTACTCTCTGAGCCTGTTATTTTTCATTCAATTTTTTATTTTAATCATTTTCCGAAAGGTTGAGTAGAGTAGATATTTTCTAGACTCCGCCTTTTACGGAGCATTATATAAATATGTAATGTATTCCATAATAAACACACATTATTATTACGAGGGATGTCTTTTAAGTTTTGTATATGGAAATAAAACAACACGGTAGGTAGTTTTAAATGACTTTTTCGATGTATTCTCCATGAAGATTAATATATCGGCATGCGCTCGAACCAATTTTCGAAGCACTTATTCCACTCGTTTGCTGACAGATCTAAAACGGCATTTTTGAATGCGTCAACTGCTTCTTCTGGTGACTGGAACCTTTGACCACGCAGTTTATTTTTAGTTTTCGGGAAATCATTAGGACTTAGATCGGGAATATATGGAGGATGGCCCAATAGTTTCACGTTTTCTTCCGTTAAATACTGCCTTGTTGTTTGAGCTGTGTGCGAGCTTGCGTTGTCTAGGTGGAGGATGATTCTTCTTTCGGGGTTGATTTTTCGAAGCTCGGTGATGACTATTGGCAAACAAATGGTGATATACCAATCCGCAGTAATAGTTCTTTGCTCATTAAGAGGAATTGTTGCAATATGACCCGCTTTTGACACAAATTTCGCGGCCATCTTTTTCGAAACACTTCGAGAACGGATGACTTTTGTTGGCTTTTCTTCACCTTGGAACATCCAAACAGCCGTTTATTCTCTGGTTCATAACAGTAAATCCACGATTCATCACCACTAACAATGCTGTACACATTTTTTGAGTTTCCGGAATTGAAACGGTCAAGCGTTTTTTGACACCAATTAACCCTGGCTGCTTTCTGCTCTTCAATCAACAGGTGGGGTATCCAACGAGAAACTGATTTTCTTATTCCTAATTCTTCATGTAAATTTTTTTAAATTGAAGTTTTTTAGATCTTCAAGGACGCCTCAATCTCGCGATATGTCACATGTCTATCTTCAATGATGAGTTTGCGCACAGCATCGACGTTTTCCTGGGTGACTGCCGTTTTGCCGTTTGAATTCTCCATACCAACGGGATATTGTCGACTGATGTGGCGCTTCGTTGCCGGAAGCAGACAGTAACTCAGCAAGGCATTCTTGTTGCGATAATTGTCTCTGAAAATTGTAATAAATTATGGCGCGAAAATGTTCTCGGTAGAGTTCCATTTTTCTAATGACGTGGTGACACTTAGAAATTCACTGTAGTGAGAACACTGCACGTACTGTTGTGAAACTTTGAATTTAAGTTTACTAAAGAGTGAGGTTAAGATTTAGTACTGACGTTCGATCCGCGCGGCCTACTATATTTCTATAAGCAAAACTTAAAAGACATCCCTCGTATTATTATTATAATAAGGAAGCCATCTCACACAAATCGTACAAATTTTCTCTAGTTTGTGAGACCGTTTACAAGAAATAAGTTCATTAGATCCATTAGTTCAATGACGCCTCCTCTTTGGTCCAATGTATACCATAGGCGCAAATTTTGATTTGGGCCTTAGAACTCGATGAGAAAACATTAGTATGAAAAACCAACTTGCGAAAACGCGGTACAATTTGGCCCGCTCTAGCGGCGAGATAAGAATGAGAGAAAGGAGGGGTAGTACGACGTACCATATTGAACGCTTTACGCTTCGAGCTCGTACCGTCCGTTTTGTTTATGTTATCACTTTATTGTGTTGTGTCCGACGAGCGGTGCTATCGTGAGAGAAACGCCCAGGTTCGTTTTTGCACGTACTCCCTTAATCCTCACATAGATACATGCATCTAATATTGCTATTATGGTTTTGAGCATCTTAAATAGCTTGTATTAGTCTCATTTTATCTCATAATATTACTGCCTCTGTTCGCCGTCAAAGGAGGAATATTTTATCGTTTCTCAAAAGCATTAGCACAGCAAAATAAGCATTTATAAAATTACCGCTGTTGCGTTTTCATATTATTTCTCTTTAAAATGTCTGTCATACAATATTCATTGATAAGTAAACCTTGAAATAACACGTCTATATGTCTTAGGAAGTGGAACATTATTGGAAGAGATTAATAATAGCCTAATTCTAATCTTTTTCCATTTTTACTTCATATCATGGTATCGGATTCCTAGATGTTTCACAAGTACTCTGAAATTTATACATTGCCACGCGAAGTTTTGTTCAAATTAAATTTGAAATAACTTTTCAACCTTTGCATCAATTTAGTTAATTTTTTCGTCAGGTTGTAGGTAAAATTATCGACTGCCGATATTGCAAAAAGATTGAAAATGTTTGTTGTTATACAGGGTGTAACTAAATGGCGCATTTAACCCTAAATTTCTGAGCACCCTGTGGAAACATTGGATTACTGAATAATGTGTCTTAGTATGAGAATTTTAAACCTTTATTATTGAAGAATATATGCTAGGCTACTTAGGCAGCAGCGTTGGCCGTAGTAGTAGACTCTTCGGTCTCCTGATCAGTCGCCGTGCGCTGTGCGGGTTCGAGTCCCGTCCCAGGAGAAATTTTTCTCTTGGCTATGGATGTTGTGATTGTCCGTAGGTGGTAGACGGTCTCTGACTGTCGAACGTGAAGGTACCACCCGGCGAATCTCTTAGGCGGAGCCAGAATGTGTGCATGTTGCATGCACACGTGTTCCCTCGCCAGAGTCCGTGTGGCGTCCCCCCTTTCCCATGTATCCCCCTATAGCCCCACGGTACCCAATCGGTGCTTAGGCCTTAGGCCTTCGTGGTAGTTGGAGTATATAAAAAAAATTGAGATATTGACATGAATCAAGAAAAAAACTGTTGAAAAAAGTTGAGGCTTAAAATCCTTATATGAAGACACGTTATTCAGTAATCCAATGTTTCGACAGGGTTCTCAAAAATTTAGGGCAAAATGCACCTTTTATTTGCACCCTCTATAACAACAAACATTTTCAATTTTTTGCAAGATCGACAGTTGATAATCATGACAATGAAATATTGCAAAGGTTTAAAAGTTATTTAAAATCCAATTTGAACAAAATATTGTTTGTCCGGTTAGTTTTGCATGGCAGTCCAGTTCCCTGCCGTCAAACTGACGGGGTCAAATTGGCGAATACAAAAAAAAATCAGAGTTGGGCAATTTGGGCTGGTTCATGTTTGCAAGTATTTTGAATTTATTGGCAAAATTTTTTATCCTTGAAATATATAATCTATATATATTCCAATATGTTTTAAACTGTTGACTCTATCGGTTTTTGTTTTTTTTTGGCCATGATAAATAGCGGTTATTTGTTCGAAGCTAGGTGGAAATTGCGCGGAATCACAACAGCTCTGGGATAGTTCCTTGTGAACCCAAGTAGGGCTATTAACAAATCGACAATTTAGGAAAAAATATGTTGTCCAGCTTGTAACTTCTGTAATTTTGTTATCTCAGTTTTCGCGAACTAGTGAACATCGCTGCGATTTCTTCAACGACGTGATTCGAACTAACTACAACAATGCCAAAGCGTGAAGGGTATCAAGACGTTTTGTGGATCGTACTCCAACCCGAACACTTTTGAAGATCATGTATGTAATATTTTCTTGCTAATTTTGTTTTCATTTTTTGTTCCTTCCCATTCGATGCCGATACTATCGGGTGATTGTGGAAATTTAAAATCGCCATTTTTCGTCCTACGCTATATTGGATATAGAACAACGCCACTTTGCTTATTGTGTTGCTCTCATCAAGCCATTTTATTTGATACACATATCATAAGAATTGCTGTAGAAATTATAAGTCGCCTTCTTGCGGTGGTCGTCATATTAGATTTAGAATGAGATCGCTCTGATTGCTGTGTTGATCTGACTAAGCCCTAAACCGTATCAAAGGGGTTAATGTGGAAATTATAAATCGCTGTTTTCTAGCGTCTGACATACAATAACCATAGAAGCAAACGTGTATGAAATATGAATCTATAAATATTCCAATATGTTTTAAACTGTTGACTCCATAGATATTTGTTTTTTTCTTTTGGCCGTGATAATTAACGGTTATTTGTTCAAAGCTAGGTAAACATTGCGTGGAATCATAACAGTTCGGGGGCTTTTAACAACTCGATAATTTATGAAAAAATATTTTGTCCAGCTTGTAGCTTCTATCATTTCGTCCTCAGTTTTCGCGAACTAGTGGACATCGCTGCGCTTTCTTCAACGTCGTGTTCTGAACTAACCACAACAATGCCAAAGCGTGAAGGGTATCAAGACGTTCTGTGGATCGTGTTCCGACCCGAACACTTCTGAGTATTTGGTATGTAATAGTTTCTTGCTAATTTTGTTTTAATTTTTTGTTCCTTCCCATACGATGCCCATACTATCGGGTGACTGTGGAAATTTAAAATCGCCATTTTTCGTCCGCCGCTATATTGGAAATAGAACAACGCCACTTTGCTTATTGTGTTGCTCTCATCAAGCCATTTTATTTGATACACATATCATAAGAATTACTGTAGAAATTATCAATTGCCTTCTTGCGGTGGTCATCATATTAGATTTAGTATGAGATCACTCTGATTGTTGTGTTGATCTGACTAAGCCCTAAACCATATCAAAGGGGTTAAGGTGGAAATTATAAATCGCAGTTTTCTAGCGTCTGACATACTGTAACCATAGAAGCAAACGTATATGAAATATGAATCTATAAATATTCCAATATGTTTTAAACTGTTGGCTCCATCGATATTCGTTTTTTTGCTTTTGGCCGTGATAATTAACGGTTATTTGTTCGAGGCTAGGTAAGCATTGCACGGAATCACAACAGTTCTGTGATAGTTTCTTGCGAACTCGAATAGGGCTGTTAACAAATCGATAATTTAGGAAAAAATATGTGGTGCAGCTTGTAGCTTCTATCATTTTGTCCTCAGTTTTCGCGAATAGTGGACATCGCTGCGCCTTCTTCAACGTCGTGTTTCGAACTAACCACAACAATGCCAAAGCGTGAAGGGTATCAAGACGTTGTGTGGATCGTGCTCCAACCCGAACACTTTTGAATATCAGGTATGTAATATTTTCCTGCTAATTTTGTTTTCATTTTTTGTTCCTTCCCATTCGGTGCCCATTACTATCGGGTGACTGTGGAAATTTAAAATCACAATTTTTCGTCCTCCACCATATTGGATATAGAACAACGCCACTTTCCTTATTGTGTTTCTCTCATCAAGCCATTTTATTTGATACACATATCATAAGAATTGCTGTAGAAATTATAAGTCGCCTTCTTGCGGTGGTCGTCATATTAGATTTAGAATGAGATCGCTCTGATTGCTGTGTTGATCTGACTAAGCCCTAAACCGTATCAAAGGGGTTAATGTGGAAATTATAAATCGCAGTTTTCTAGCATCTGACATACAATAACCATAGAAGCAAACGTGTATGAAATATGAATCTATAAATATTCCAATATGTTTTAAACTGTTGACTCCATGGATATTTGTTTTTTTCTTTTGGCCGTGATAATTAACGGTTATTTGTTCAAAGCTAGGTAAACATTGCGCGTAATCATAACAGTTCTGCCATAGTTCCTCGTGAGAATAGGGCTATTAACAAATCGATAATTTAGGATAAAATATGTTGCCCAGCTTGTAGCTTCTATCATTTTGTCCTCAGTTTTCGCGAATAGTGGACATCGCTGCGCTTTCTTCAACGTCGTGTTCTGAACTAACCACAACAATGCCAAAGCGTGAAGGGTATCAAGACGTTCTGTGGATCGTGTTCCGACCCGAACACTTCTGAGTATTTGGTATGTAATAGTTTCTTGCTAATTTTGTTTTAATTTTTTGTTCCTTCCCATACGATGCCCATACTATCGGGTGACTGTGGAAATTTAAAATCGCCATTTTTCGTCCGCCGCTATATTGGAAATAGAACAACGCCACTTTGCTTATTGTGTTGCTCTCATCAAGCCATTTTATTTGATACACATATCATAAGAATTACTGTAGAAATTATCAATCGCCTTCTTGCGGTGGCCATCATATTAGATTTAGAATGAGATCACTCTGATTGCTGTGTTGATCCGACTGAGCCCTAAACCATATCAAAGGGGTTAATGTGGAAATTATGAATCGCTGCTTTCTAGCGTCTGACATACTATAACCATAGAAGCAAACGTGTATGAAATATGAATCTATGAATATTCCAATATGTTTTAAACTGTTGACTACATAGATATTTGTTTTTTCTTTTGGCCCTGATAATTAACGGTTATTTGTTCGAAGCTAGGTAAACATTACGCGGAATCACAACAGTTCTGCCATAGTTCCTCGTTATTAACAAATCGATAATTTAGGATAAAATATGTTGCCCAGCTTGTAGCTTCTATCATTTTGTCCTCAGTTTTCGCGAATAGTGGACATCGCTGCGCTTTCTTCAACGTCGTGTTTCGAGCTAATCACAACAATGCCAAAGCGTGAAGGGTATCAAGACGCTGTGTGGATCGTGCTCCAACCCGAACACTTTTGAATATCAGGTATGTAATATTTTCCTGCTAATTTTTTTTTCATTTTTTGTTCCTTCCCATTCGGTGCCCATTACTATCGGGTGACTGTGGAAATTTAAAATCACAATTTTTCGTCCTCCACCATATTGGATATAGAACAACGCCACTTTTCTTATTGTGTTTCTCTCATCAAGCCATTTTATTTGATACTCACATCATAAGAATTGCTGTAGAAATTATAAGTCGCCTTCTTGCGGTGGTCGTCATATTAGATTTAGAATGAGATCGCTCTGATTGCTGTGTTGATCTGACTAAGCCCTAAACCATATCAAAGGGGTTAATGTGGAAATTATAAATCGCAGTTTTCTAGCGTCTGACATACAATAACCATAGAAGCAAACGTGTATGAAATATGAATCTATAAATATTCCAATATGTTTTAAACTGTTGACTCCATAGATATTTGTTTTTTCCTTTTGGCCGTGCTAATTAACGGTTATTTGTTCAAAGCTGGGTGAACATTGCGCGGAATCACAACAGTTCTGTGATAGTTTCTGGTGAACCGGAATAGGGCTGTTAACAAATCGATAATTTAGGAAAAAATATGCTGCCCAGCTTGCAGCTTCTATCATTTTGTCCTCAGTTTTCGCGAACTAGTGTCCATCGCTGCGCTTTCTTCAACGGCGTGTTTCGAAATAACCACAACAGTGCCAAAGCATGAAGGATATCAAGACGTTGTGTGGATCGTGCTCCAACCCGAACACTTTTGAGGATTTGGTATGTAATATTCTCTTGCTAATTTTGTTTTCATTTTTTGTTCCTTCCCATTCGATGCCCATACTATCGGGTGACTGTGGAAATTGCAAAATCGCCATTTTTCCACCGCCGCCATATTGGATATAGAACCACGCCACTTTCCTTATTGTGTTTCTCTCATCAAGCCATTTTATTTGATACATATATCATAACAATTGCTGTAGAAATTATCAATCGGCTTCTTGCGGTGGTTGCCACATTGGATTTAGAAGGAGATCACTCTGATTGTTGTGTTTATCTGACTAAGCCCTTTCATTTGATAACCATATCAAAGGGGTTAATGTGGAAATTATAAATCGCAATTTTGTAGCATTCGATATACTGTAACCATATAAGCAAACGTGTACCAGTATAAAGAATTTGAGCTTGATCTGTAAAGGTTAACTTTCAAAATTCATTCTCAGATTTGTCCCACATATACATACTAACATATGATTTTTTAGTAGCTAATGATCTTTTGAGAGACTATCCATTTTGCCATAAAAAATGAAGCAAATCTCAATTTGAATGTGTTTTTAACAACCTGTAGACTACTTATACCATATAGTTCACTGAATATAGGATAAAAATTGATTTTACTAACTTTGGCGCTTAACAAAAAAAAAATTATCTAGCAAAAGTTTTCATATCGCCGTTTACTACGTCTGCAGAATCTTATCTGAAATAAATTCTAGATATTCTGGTCTATACTTAGCGTACAATTTTTTGTGACTAGAAAACCTAACCACATGGCAAGTATAACGGCTGCATTGTGGTGCATAGGCCGGCTAGCAATTTGTCATTTCGTGGTAGTTTACAGAAAAACAAATAGGGGATTCTCACATGCATGATTGTGATATACGTTATCTCCAAGAGAAATCCCTGGCTAGACTTTTGAACACTTTATAGTTGAATAAAATGGATGGGTGACTACAACGAATTTACAAGCAGGGAGAAAAGTTTAACCCACCTTTATAAAAATTCGGAAACTTTCGGAATAAATTTTACTTTTTAATTATACTGCTTTTTACCATCTTTCTTTGGACCTTTTTATAAATTACTTAACTTTGGAAAAAACGGCCAAACGTACATCAAAGGATTTTGCTATTGGACGAATTGTTGATGCGACGACATCATTCCTGATCTTTATCCGAACAGACTAAGAACCAAGGCTTCTGAATCCAAAGTCAATAGATGGAAGCTGCACAAACGTTCCTTATTGTACCACTTCATTTTTAGACGCAGTTTACATTTTTTTTTTCAATTGGCATTCGACACGTGTATAACGTATCTTGAAAAATGATATTATGTCGATTTTTTTTGACATTGTATTTTTGTGACATTATGTAGGCTTTCTACAAGATGTTAACTTAGCACTAGCTGATCGACACTTTATGAACTCGTTTTGTAGTTGTACGTGTTGCCTAAACGTCATGATGCTTCAGTTACCAATGCTTGGCTCTGATGTGGTGTAAAATCTGCTTCAGAGATGGCATTACTGGAGGTCTAAGCTGTAAGTTGTACACTATAGCTTGAAGAAAACGGCAATGCATAAGTGCATAGTGAGGATTTGTGTGCTAGTAATATGTGTCTATGATAATTCCGTTGCATTCTTGTCTCAAACACACCTATTTGAAATTCAAAGCTAGAATCCACTTTTTCTTATTCATCATTCATTTAAATTTTACAGAAATTTATTATGCGATGTCAATAGAAAATACAAATCAGCGCCTACATGTGAGGCGTTGCGAAAATGTTTGATGTGTGATACGCCATTACTAATTTTTCTGTGATGTGGGAAATCGGGAAAAATTGTAATTTAGCACTTTGAACATAATCTGTCTTCAGAAAGGCCCGTCGGGCATACCTAATAGATATACTTCATTGGCAGCATATTCAGTAATAATTTTTGTACACAGCAAATATCACTGATTCTATACACATGCAAAAATGTAATCATCTAGATGCGACCTTGCTATTCAACCAACTTCCTTCTCAGAGATTAAAACTGCAGACTACTCGGCTTTACAAGACATATGCAACCAACAATGCTTGAGTTGAGTCATTCCTCCATAGATGGCGCGATCAGAGCTAGCAAACGTGGAATGAACTATTTGCACACTAAAAACGACCTAGTCTGCCAGACGACATTTTATTGTTTTTTTTCTGACGTTTTATAGTTTTTTTACATAATACCCGTGTCGCTTCGGAAGCAAAATCGGCTTCGTCTTGGGCTAAAACATTTACCTAATGCTTACCGAGTTCTGAATTAAGGGTTTTATTTTTGATACCATTATAGTGACCTGTTTATTGGACAGTTCAGTCGTGTTATTTATTGAGTATCAACATATACAGACAACATCTTCGCATTCATTACGGAAGTAACTTAATTTGAATCTGAGCAAAAGTAGCTCTGCTTCTGTAATCTGCGTGAGAAGTTTGGCTGTGAAACAAAAGTTTACAAACCTTAACCTATAATTAGGGGAAACTATGTTTAGCCAAAGTTTCCCCCGCATTAGTGAAAAACAGTAGTAAAGACAATTTTCTACACTTTAGCTTTATAAAATTAGCTTGGTTTCATGGAAACCGTGGCCTCAAATATCTAAAAAAGGCTCAGCACGTTTTACTTCTGCTACTTCTATGCTAAAAGGTGATGGACATATTGTTAAGGGAAAGTAATGTCATTGGGGCATCTATATTTTTCACAGGGAAAAAATAGATGCCCGAATGGTATGCATATACCTGTAGCTTACAGAATTTATTGACAATAAAATCAGAAAAATTGTTTAGAATCGTTTTTTGATATCCTAGGAGACCACAATTATTTGTTATCAAAGGTATTGTAATTCTTGGTGACAAGTTTTGCCGCGGATCAACTCGAAAAAACTGCTGACGTGCTGTCATACAATTTTTCGATCTAGAGACGATTTGTAATTGAAAATTGTTTGTTTGTGATTGCTAGGAATTAAGACGAGGGTAATAGCCAGTTTAATATGCACTGCCATCCAAAATTAACCGGTCATGTTGGACAAATCAAATTAATTTTTCTTTAAGTTGTAGGTAATTTCCTTGTCATCACTATCGACTGCCTCTCTTGCAAAAAAAATTAAAATGTTTGTTGTTATACAGGGTGTAACTAAAAGCTGCATTCTGTCCTAAATCTCTGAGCACCCTGTGGAAACATTGGATTACTGGAATATATGTCTTCGTATGAGAATGTTGAGCCTCAACTTTTCTCAACAGTTTCAGATCTCAATATCTCAATTATTCAGGGATATATGCTGTTTTGAAAAAAATCATGCGAAAAATTACATCATTGGACACTAAAAACCGTTTTTATACGAAACCCGACGATTTTCGCGATGATAGGGTATATTAGCATCGCCAAGCATGATTCAAGATGTGTTTCAATTACAGAGACCCAAACCGTTGTACCATATCAAGGTCAAGTATGAAAAATACGTTATCTACAAGTTTTGATGAAATCTTAGTTACCCTTAGATTGACCATACCCCCCTGTAAACTGTATTTCAACCCTAATCCTTTATTCAGAGAACACAATCGATATACAAGTGTTTGACACCATAACAAGAACAATGCAGAGCTGTCCGAATTTTATTTAGGACATAGCAGCACGACAGTATTGCTATACAGGGTGGCCCAAAGAGAATACCGCATCTCCGTTTGTGATTCTCCTGGTATATTTTGGAAAGAACCCTCGGACAAGTCAATTTTTTACGATTCATTGTAATCCAAAAATAAAATGTTGCCTTACACTTTAGATTTTTAATTCGAAATCCGAACTTTTAAAATTTTTGGTTTTTCCTTGAAGTTTTTAGTAAATTTTTGTATAATAAAGATTATACCTATCTTCAATCGTTGTGAAGCTATGCGAGTTTATAAACAGCAAAAAATAATAATCATGGATACCAGGAAGAACATTTAGCATCAATCATTGTCATCGTATGCCATAGAAAAACTAGGTATAAAATCTACTATTCAAAAATCGAAAAATCGAATAAAATGGGGGTTTCCATTTATTTATATATACTATTTTTGGATCACCCTGTATTGTACGGCTTCAGATGAAAATACGTCTCCTCAGAAATCAAAATTGACGTGTCCGAGCGTTTTCCCCAAAATATACCAGGAGAGTCACAAATGGGGGTGCGACATTTTTGTTGGGCCACCGTGTATATATTATGGATGAGATTGTAAAAGCCATTGATGATGGGAACATTTTAGTTCTACGTGATGTTAGTGCAATATTTGACGCCATTATTCACAATATTATACAGGGTGTTCCTTAATGAAATGCGAATATTTGAGGGTGTGAATATACAAGAAAAAATTAATTTTAGTTTGCTTTATAAACTATGGTCCAAAAATTTTTCTTACAAAAACTCGGGGTATTGATGTCTTAGGAAAAAAATGGAAATTAATTAATATTTTCAGAACCGCTTCAGATATTTCACTGATATTTAGTACGTAGTGAAAGTTAATAAAGTTGCATATTTTTCAATGCAAAAATAATTTTCAGCTTCAACAGTGGCGTGCGTACGGGTATTGACTTCGTTACTTTATAACGAAAAAATGGTACGCCAATGGTTTTTTGCCATATAAAAATTATTTTTGAATTCCCCGTTGAATCTATAACAAATTATCTATGTTGAATTGTTTTTCTTCGATGCGCCATTTTTAAGTAAAAAAATAATAACCGTTCTATTGTCCGAGAAAATTAATGTAATAATTGAATGCAATTTAGCAATAAATATCTAGTTGCTCTCCCTTGTCAAACTCCGTAAGATATTACTATTTCATTCTGTGCTGTTGCTTTCTGATATATAATTTTGGAACAATTTGTTTACGTTGCCTCTGATGCCAGCGAAAAAGTTTACGATGCTATCAGCGGCAAATTTCTGCCATCACAACACTTCTCTCTCTTGCACGTGCGGCGTGGAATGAGGTACGGAAAAATGAAATCAGGAATGACAGCATATATGAACGTCGCAAAGAGAAACAAAAGATACATATGAAGAAAAAAAACAAGAGTGGTTAAAATTAAAGTATACACTAGAGGTCGATACCAAAAGGCCCGGAGCGGCCCGTGAAGTAGTGCCGGGCTCCGCTAGAAGTCTCTACGGTAGAGGCTGACTTCCAATACGCTCAGGCGTCGCATCACCAAAGCGTCGAGACGCCAGTATCACGAGACGCCCCAACGCGAGAGCGTCGCGTCTGCCCTTTTGTCGCGCTAGAGAACACGCGAGATTTTTGGTAACTTAAACAACCCTTATTCCAAGTGACAACCGTACTGTATCTAAGTGTTCGCACTCTGCCTGTCAGTTTGTTGTTTACATTCACTGTGAGAACTAGGGTTGGTGTCGTGATTAGATTTAACAGTGTTTTGCGAATTTTTGCTGGATAGTTCGCTGTGTTTTGGTGATGTGATTTACATAGTGAGACAGGGTACTTTTCAAGATGTGGAGGCAAGCTATTCCAGTGTCGTTTTCCATTGCTATTCTTTTGGCTAACACAGGTAAGGATTTTTAGGTTAGCCGCGCTTTTAATGCCAAAACAAATTCCGAAGTGTCAATTTATAATGCAATAACAATAATAAGAGTTGGTGATGACACCAGATGAAATAAAAAATATGCAACCATTTATTTATTTTAACTATAACAGAGTAATTCATAAGGACGCGAGGGGAGTGGCGACTCATGCGACATTGCGAACAACGTGAATACTGGTTAGTTTTTTTTAAATAAATCGTATTTACATCGAAATCGAAATACTTTAAATGCCCACAGCGCTCCAAACATTTCTAGATACTGTTTTAGGTGATACCTACTAAGTTTGTAGTACCCACGTATAAAGCTCTACAATTGTGAATTGAAGACAACCTATAGCGTTGCATTACCTGTTGGTTCATATCAGAGAGTATCTTTTCGATATATTTGGCTGATCTGAATAACAGTATAACGTAACACTTTTACAATTATTAGAGATGCATCGAGTACTACTTTTCCCAAAAAGCGGAGTACCGGGTACCTCAGCAGATGGAAAGCGGATACTTGTACTGTTTTTATTCGGGCTGTTACTGGTGTAATTAACAATTGTTTGAGGGTGACATATGCGTTTACACTTTCAATTGATATATTGATTTGAAATTAGGTAAACTAACGCATCGCCAAAATTACTAAAAGTGTAAAATATATTTTTTTGAAATTACATGTCTGGTTTTGACCAGTAACTGCAAGGAAGCTATCTTTACCAAGCAGAGTATTGAAACTCATACCTGACTTCAACATACAACATCGTATGGAGGTCAGCAGGGCTACCGTGTTGATTTGGGACTGAAATATGTCATGTCAATATTCAGAAACGTTTAATTGATATTTTTTGATGGCACGCTGCCTTTGTGCTTGCTTTTTAGTGAAGTATATATCATGATAGTTTTGACAAAAGCGTATATTTGATTTACTAAAATGTACGTTTGCGTACAGACCGAGTATTTACCTTGCCAAGTAATGAATCATTTCACAAAACAGGGTACTCCGTAAAATCGGCTGAATACCAGGTACCAACCAACTAGGATAACTTTAACCACGGCAACCTCCATAGATGTCATTTGTACAACAAATAACGTAGCTGAATCATTAATTTCAACTAGCTCTGTACCTGTTCCGAATTTGTCAGATCATAATGTAGTCAGATGTGACTTCAACATCACACGGCCTAAGAATTTTCAAAAGACTGTCAAATATAGAGATTTTAAACACTGTTGTAAAGATCAGTTTTCGGTGGATTTGTATAAGATCCCATGGGACGATATATATTACATCACTAACTTAGAGGATAAAGCTACGTTTTTTTCTAATCATATTTTGGATTTGTTTGATGTCCATGCTCCTGTTATTTCATCACGTATTACTAAACCTTATGCTCCATGGCTCACAGGTGGCATAAAATTTTTGATCTCCGAGAGAAATAAAGCCTTTAGAAAATATCAGATTTTAAAAAGTCCAGCTAGTCTCGAATATTACCAGAAATTAAGAAATGATGTCATTTCCGCTATTAGGCGGGAGAAAGCAGCATATCTAAGCTTCAATGAACAACTAAATAGTAACAAGCATCTCTGGAAAGCTGTACATTCATTGAAACTCAAAACTAATGTAGATAGATCTTTACCTACACAGTTGAAGAATGCCGATGAAGTAAACAATTATTTTTCTTCCGTTTTCACGCCTTCGGGCAATTGCAAGGATCTAGTTGATAAATTTAATAGTACCAAAATTAATGAAAGTGCTAGATTTGAATTTAGTTTTGCTACCCCACAAAATGTGCTAGACATTATTCTGTCCCTAAAATCTAATGCAGCAGGTTCGGATGGTATAACAGTCTCAATGCTGAAGCTTTGCTTGCCTCGAGTATTACTACCCATGACGCATTTATTGAACTGTTGCCTGGAGGCTGGGTATTTCCCTGATGCTTGGAAACTATCTCTTGTCAAACCCTTGCCTAAATGTAAAAATCCAAAATGTCTCTCAGACTTAAGACCTATAACTTTGATTCCTGTTATATCGAAGATATTGGAGAAATTGATTAAACATCAGATTTATCATTATTTCTCTAATAATGATTTCTTTCCCAAGTGTCAATCTGGTTTCCGCAGTGGTTTTAGTACAACTTCAGCTTTAGCAAGGGTTTTAGATGACATCATTGCTTCGCTTGATAAGGGAGATGCTTCAGCACTTGTATCATTAGATTATTCTAAGGCGTTCGATAAAATAGATCATGAGCTTTTATGTGCTAAATTGAAGTTTTTTGGTTTTTCAGACATACCTCTAATGTTTTTTATAACATATCTTTCAAATCGTAAACAAGTAGTAGAGATAGACAACACTATATCTAGTCCGATTGATATAACATCAGGTGTCCCTCAGGGTTCAGTTTTAGGGCCCTTGTTGTACTTAATTTATACTATAGACTTGGGTAGCTCTGTGAAAAACTCTTCTGTGATGTGCTATGCCGATGATACACAGATATATAAAAGCTTTAATAGTAACACTTTGCATACTTCAATCAATGAGCTTAATGATGATTTGGAGGCAATAGTAGGATACTCAAATGGTAATAATCTTAAGCTCAATAAGGATAAGTGCTCAGTGATGCTTTTTTGTCCTGCTGTCAAACGTAACACTGTATTGAATTCTCTTGATGTAAAAATCGACAAGGAGCGTCTAGCTGTCGTAAATACTACAAAAAATTTAGGGTTGATTATTGATTATACTTTACGGTTTAAGGAGCATGTTTCGTCTATCTTAAAAAAATGTTATGCAACGTTGAAGTGTTTTTATGTCAATCGCTCTATTTTGAATTTTAAAGTTAGAAAAAAGTTATGTGAGGCTATTATATTTCCAAGCTTATTTTACTGTAGCACTGTGTTCTATCATTGTCTTGATTCTATCACAAAAGCAAGACTCCAAAAACTCCAAAATACTTGTTGTCGATTTGTATTTAATCTCAAGAAGTATGATCATGTTTCCTTAAAGAGATTTCAGCTTGGTTGGATGTGTATAGAAAATGCTTGCAAGTACCATATAGCAGTGTTTACTCATAAGATCATATCTTCTAGATCTCCCTTGTATCTTTATGAGAAATTTGTTTTCAGACGAAATACTCGTAATTCAGACATTGATTTCAGACACAAAAAAAGACTAGAGATCCCTATGTATAAAACAACTTTATTTCGTAGTTCATACACATACAATGCTATCCTGATTTATAACAAATTAGATGACAATATAAAGGATTGGCCAGTAAACAGATTTCGTAAGCATGTGAAACAGATTTATTTGTCATTGTAGTAATTGTGGAAAAGTTAGTTTTTAATTCTTACATTTAATTTTATTTTACGTAATATATGTGTGTATATATGTATGCTAGGAAGCTATCAAGCTCGTTGTTTTGAAGCGTCTTTTGCTTGTCAAAGTTTCCTTTGATTGAGTGTTTCAATTTAGTATTTGGGTAGGTTAAGTAGAGTAGCCAAGAGCTAGACTTCGCCTACGTAGAGGTCACATTATGTTGTAGTGTATATAATGTGCCTAATAAAGACATTTTATTATTATTATTATTATTATTATTATTACACCGTGCATTCTTAGTAACTATAAAACGATTCTATATAAATTGCAGTTCGCTTTTATCAAGCACACTCCATTTTGAGAGAGGTATCTGAAAGGTTTTGATATCTGCTCATATTTCCATTAAATTCGTAACAAAAAGCGCAGGTTAGAGAATCTTAAAACTGGTCATCATTGCCTTTTATTTAATACTTGTAATGCACGTTTTGAGGTAAAAAAATATATAAAGTTGTAAGCTTATTCAGATTGATAAAAGCCCTACTCAAGATCATTCTCATTTATAGAATACTTCTGCCTCAAAATGGTTTGTTGATTTTGAATAGTTCTGGATTCATAAAATATCATGGCAAGACCGAATCGGTGGTGTCCATCTAGTGGTGTGTATCTGATAAAGCTAGGCCAACTTCGACTTGTGAAGGCTGATAAGATGTAATAATAAAGACAATAATGTTTATTGTCTGCAATACAAATAAATTAATATAAAAAAATCTTCTAGACTAATAAGCATCAGAGAAAAACCCACAGGAGACTGACGTGGGCATGATTGTGTAAAAAATGATTTTTACGAAGAAAAATGATTCAAAATGGCACAAGTTGCACACATGATATTTAACTTAATGTAGTAAATGAAATTTCAGAGAACGTATTATCTGATATACTAAGAGTAGGAACAATTTCTGTTGATCATAAATTACTTTTTTATTTTTTTTCCATATTGAGTCTATATTTGGTATTATTTGTCGTCTCTGATAGGGCATTATCGATTATGTTGTCCAAATCGGAATTATTAGCATCGTATAAATACAGGGTGGCGCATCGAAAACGAAACAGACGCATCAGTTTTTTTTTGGAACAACGCTCTGACTCGTCGATTTTGTTCTCGAGGGGGACACAAGTTTGGCAAAAAATCACGTTAACACGTGCAACCCCCTGGGCGGGGGTGACACCAATCCTAAAATCTTAAATGGAAAGGGGGATCGAGTGATACCTTATTTTAAAGGTCTCTCAATTCCCTTTATAATGATACATGAGCTTCAGTTCAGTAGTTTTGAAGATTTATTTATTTAAAGCTTAAATTAGTTTGTACTACTTTCAGAATAAATTTGACTAAAAGAATTCACTTAATAAGTAAACTCTTTTCTTCACTACGCCCATGGTTTGTTTATTATTTTGTTGTTGAAAATAGCTATTGGAGCGTATTTTTGTGGCAAAAAAGTTATTTCTTGAAGAAAGATAAGGAAATATCACTTACTTATTTTAAATAGGAATTTAGTACTTAGTTTGCGGTTGATTTGACCAAACTTTGTTGCTAAAATAACTTGTAACGCTTTATTACATAAATTAACCAAGGTATATTCCACAACAGAAAGAGTTGAAATTATCGAAATATTTTTCGGAAATAATCAGGGCGCTAATAGAATAGTAAAAATATTTAATGAGCGACATGAGAACATCGAGCATCGAAAATATGTTCTAGAACTTGTAGCTAAATTTCGGGAAACTGAGTCAGTCGCCAATAAAAAACGCAACATTGAAAATCCCATAAGGAACGAAGCAATAGAAGTGGGGGTTTTAGGGCAAGTTTATGTAGATCCTACGTTAAGTACCCGCAAATTGGGGACTGTGTGTGGTGTTAGTCGACGTACTGTCCAACGGATTCTAAAGGCACATAGTTTTCGTCTGTATAAAATTCACCTGGTACAAGAACTAATGAAGACGATTTTGATCGGCGATTACAATTTTGTGAAGGTATGAGTGAACGAATTATAAACGATGAACATTTTCTATTCAACACTTGCTTTTCCGACGAATATTCCTTTTTCTTAAATGTCGTAGTAAATCGTCATAACTGCCGATATTGGTCCGATTCTAATCCCAGAATTTATCATGAGGTTCATACACATCAGCCACAAAAATTAAATGTTTGGGCTGGTGTTTAGTTGGTCCTTTTTTCTTACCTGGAATTTTGACCGGTGAAATGTATTTGGAATTACTGGAAGACGCCACAGATCCTGCATTAACAGCCATAATTGAAAATCAGAATGATCGGCGGTACATTGCGAATAGGTTGATGTTCCAACAGGATGGAGCCCCACCACATTACGCATTACGTGTTCGACAATATTTAGATCAGAAATTTCCAGATCGATGGATTGGCAGAAGGGGTGCCATTCTTCAAAAAAAAACTGAGCTGCAAGTAGATGCATCTGTTTCGTTTTCGATGCGCCACCCTGTATATCGTCAACAGTTTAACTTAGTATTTTGGTATGTTGACTTTTCATATTAATATTGACTTTTTTATATGGACAACTTCATAAGCTCTTGTTCTGGGCATAGATATTATCCAGACTTTCACTTTTCTCCTAAATGAGTATTTGGAATGAATGCGTTTCTGATCTTGTGGAAGGAGATTACTCGAGGGTCTGAGTAAAGACACGATCTGAGTATGATATTTTTTTCTGGTTTGGCCTTTGTATGATTCTTGTTCTTGCTATTGTAACTAAAACTGAAAGAATCTAACTGAAACTGCCTTTGCATATTCTAGAGATATTTTAGCGACACCAAAGCTAATTTACGGAATAAACCATTATGCATATAATTAATCATATATTCCTGACACTGCTAACACGCCGTTTAAAAATAACCGAGACAGAAGATAGATGAACTTAGTTGGAACAATTTTTGGATTTACATGAGCCACATATAATGGCTTTTAAAACGAATGGTAGAGAAAAGTGCCCTAAGATGGACCTCTTACCTAAATACGGTTTATTATTCCTTGCTTCAACGTGCAACGATTGTCTCTTGAAAATGTGCTGTTTAAGAATTTGAGATACTGCAGAACTAATTATATAACGAGAAATGGCATTCTTTTCCTCAAACTCTGTGTCTCCATCTGTTTCATTTGACTGTGGTCTGAGCAAAATCCCTATGACAATTTCCGTCACTTTGTGGAGAATCAACTAAAGATCTTCCAGGATACCCAGTTGCCTTTCAGCTGT